AGCCCGTTGCTACCTGGAACCGTCAAAAGACACGGGCGAAAAAATCTGATAATGACCACCAAAAATATTCACCCCAAGAAAAGAGAACACAACTCCGCAACTACACTGCCAGCATTGTTCAAAACCAACTTGACAACAGGAACATCGAACCGGACACTTGCTGGGGTATGCAATTCTCTGGCAGACATGTGCGATACTTCCCGAGCAACATCTGATAACGACCAGATGAATATCGCCACACAGTGACTTGCTTTCCAGCCGTCGACAGACGCGAGACAGGTTAACAATCCTAAGGATTTTCCAACAACAATCACTGATATTTCAATTTGGAGAAATTTATGGTCTGCATATAAACTTCACACCAGCGAAAGGACCTAACATCAAAAACGCAGCAGGATAAAAAAGAAAAGAAAAAAGAATTGCCCTTTAGTTCACTGAACCAAGAAAGTGCGCAGTTGGTCTCATTGGGCGCCCGTTGCTGACACCAACTCGCCGCCAAGCCTTTCGACACTAGTAGGAATCTCCAGCATCGCCTGTCTTCAACATCCAGCACAACGACTCATTCTCGACAAGATCCTCTCGACACGCTGTTGCCTATCTATCCATTCAGCCGATTCCAAACCAGATGCCGCTACCGATTACATGGCTGGGTCCCGTAGGAATCCGCTGATGAAAGACCAGTGGAGAGCCGACGACGACCCCAAAGACAGAGACCACGCACTGCCACATCCTAGAGAAAGAGACAGGGACCGAGACCGGGAACGACCTGAGCGGCGTCCGCGATCACCTCCGCCCTCGCGTCGTGGGGCAGCCCGTGGCCACGAAAGAACGAGAGGGCGCGGTGCTTCCTTTGCTCACCAGAATCAGTCGTCCCGTCGCCCCCAACCCGGTCGGAGGGGCGATCATAAAAAGCACAACAATACTAGTAATAGGAATAGACGGTTTTCCCCTCCATTTCACAACAAGGCCCTAGACTCAGATTTACGAGATTCTACACGTCAACCAGACGTTCAGGAAGGCTCTCGGACTGACCAGGCAAATTCTCCGCTGCAATCTCCTGGCCCGCCCTCCAAGCGGAAACGCAGTCGGAGCATTTCGCCATCTCGTTCTCAACTCAACCCTCGTCCCAAGAGGCGAGACGGGCGTAACCGGGACCGTCCTGGGAGAGGTAGAGGCCGGCCAGATCGGAATTTGTCCCCCAGAAGACCTCCAGTATCACGGGGAAAGGGCCTCCGACCGGCAGATCTTCGTTCTGAGGTCTCAGCGTCTGAGTTGTTGCAGCCTCGCCGCAGACGCTCTAGATCTCCAGATTCATTCGGGGAGAGAGGCAGCTTTTCACCACGTCGCTTTTCTCGAAGTCCTCCGCCGGTCAGAGGTTACTCTGATCATTCTTCCCGCCCCTCGTCCCGCCGCTCCGTTTTCTCGGGAGCTTCGCGGCAATCCCCACCTCCAAAGTCTCGAAAGACGATAGAAATGCAATCTACCCGTCCCATCCAATCTGTTGTGGATGACTCACACCGTTCCCCGTCTCCTCTTCGTCCTATTCCTAGCTTTGAAACCATAAGCTCGAATCAAGCATCTGATGGTGACAGTCGGCTACGCGATACGTTCCAGATACATGCTATGCGTGCATCGGAAATCCATGGCTCACGTAGACCGTCTCGTCCACATGTTGATACACGACAATCGTACAATACGTCCCCACAATATGTGACGCCTACGAGCTCACACCATGGATCGCCGCAATCTGGATCTCCGTTTAGTGGCAGCAGAGGATCTTGGTCGGGTCAGCAGCAATATCATGCACAACAAGGGTTAGTGAATTAAAACAAACATGTGAAGCGTTTAAATTTGATGCTAACCCAATAATACAGACAAGTGACCGGTTATTCGCCACCTTATCGACAGACTTCTTATCCTCCACCTCAAGGAGGATCGCAAGGCCAATATTACCAAGGTCAGCAGGCACCATATCCTTCCAGTTCAGCTCACTGTCAGCCAGGGTACTCTGGTCAGCCTTACCGTGCTGGCCCTCCCGGATATCGTGGAAATCAGTATAACCAGACCCAGGATCGTCGATTCTCCAATCCAGGCCCACAATCATATGGAACTACACAACCACCGCCACAGCAGCAGCAACAACAGCAACAACAACAATCGCAGCGGGGAAGGGGAAGCCACTTCAGCAATCTACAATGGACCCCTTCCAGTGTACGTGGCCGTGGAGCACACGGACCTCCAGGAGGAGCACTTAAACATCCTCATCTTCCCGATGAACGTATGTCGCCTGAAATTTACGAAGACGATAACCCATTTCGTCCATCCAAAGATCTTCAGGTGGAAGATGAAGATTCAAAACCGAAGCCGGAGAAGACTGGTTCGAAGAAAATGCCACCACCCAATCGACAGCAGAGTGGTACTTCCACTCCTAAGGAATCAGGGAAATTTAGTTTTGCTTTCAAATCAAAAACTCCGGCCCCGGCTACTCCCAAACCAGTACCCGATCTTGTACAGAGAATGCGTGAACCCCCTCCCAAGGTCGTGGATTCAATTAAGAATAAACAATCCAATGTTCCTCTACCGAGGGAGAAGCTTAACAGTCGTGTTGACCGAAGGGATGATAGACGGGATTCACGGAGAAATGACCGCCGGTTTGACAGCAGAAGCGAAAGGCAGCGGGACCGGCGTGAAGATAGGAGAATGGAGTCCAGACATGAACGACATGAACGGCATGAGCGGCATGAGCGACATGAACGACGACCAGAGTGGTCACCTGAACGTAAGAAGCCAAAGAAGATCCTCAAGCGGATGAAACCACGTCCTACGCTCTCTGAAGAATTCTCAAAGTCAGATTCTGTCTACTACCGAAAACCCGGAAATGAGTCCGTGATTGGAGCGGGAACCTACGGCAAGGTTTTCAAGGCTATTCATGTTTATACAAATAATATGGTTGCATTGAAAAAGATACGCATGGAAGGTGAAAAGGATGGGTTCCCTATCACAGCCGTCCGGGAGATACGGCTGCTACAGCATCTCCGCCATGACAACGTCGTTTCTCTTCGGGAAGTTATGGTAGAGAAAAATGAATGCTTCATGGTTTTCGAGTACCTATCGCATGACCTGACCGGCCTCATCAATCATCCTACTTTCTCCCTCACAGCTTCCCACAAAAAACATCTCGCGCGGCAAATGTTCGAGGGCTTAAATTATCTACACCACCGCGGAGTGCTACATCGAGACATCAAAGCCGCAAATATCCTTATCAGCAACCAAGGTCAGCTAAAGTTTGCCGACTTCGGCCTAGCGCGATTCTTCTCCAAGAGTCGCCAGCTGGATTACACTAACCGCGTCATCACCATCTGGTATCGTCCCCCCGAACTCCTCCTGGGAGAAACCCGATACGGACCCGCCGTCGACATCTGGAGCGCTGCATGTGTATGGGTAGAGATGTTTACCAAAAAGGCAGTGTTCCCCGGCGAAGGTGGTGAAATAAGCCAACTTGACAAATTGTATGCTTCATTGGGCACTCCTACGCGTACTGACTGGCCGGATATCGTCGAAATGCCATGGTTCGAGTTACTACGACCAACAGAACGGAAACCGCGCACGTTTGAAAATTTTTATACAGATATTCTTTCGCCAGCTGCCTTGGACCTCGTTGCCAAGATGTTCCAGTATGATCCCGCCAAAAGACCATCTGCTGAGGAGGTCCTGACCCATCCATATTTCACAACGGAAGAACCTGCTCCCCAGCAGGCTATTGAGTAAGCCATAATGCCTGCTATCATGGTCCAACAGAGCACACCTCTTTTTCACTCTTTCTCTTTACTTACATTTCATTCACAGACTTGCAAACATCGAAGGTGACTGGCATGAATTTGAGTCCAAAGCCCACCGTAAGGAAAAGGATAAAGAAGCGCGTCGTGCAGAGCATCAGCGTGAGAAGGAAAAACGCAGAGTCAGTGGTGTTGGCGCTGCTGCTCAAGGAAGTGAGGGACGGGATACCAAGCGGGCTCGGTTGGAAGAAGACGCATCGCAGCCTCAATCACTTGAAAACTGATGAATAGTGGCACCCATTCGTGTTTTCTTCTTTCTTTTTACACGAAAAGAAAGCATGTGGGTGATGTACATATTGTCTTTATTTGTTTGATTACTAATCGACTCCATCGATTATTTACAATGGAGTCGTATAGCCAACCGCCGACATTTCTGTCCGACCCATCCCATTGAGCGGCTAGGTTGTTTGATTACCTTTGTCTCATTTGTAATTCGATGCCACAGCAATTATACGTTTTATACTTCACTTTTTTGCCCCCTTTCCCTACGCCCTTGCTATGTCTTCTGTATTATTCCGGCCTCCACTTTTCCTGGCATTTTCGCCCTATTTTCCCGTATATATTCTCCCCAAATCTGGTGATATCGTTTCTCAGATATATTTCTTGCCGACCTTTGGCTCTTCTGTCCCTTTATATTAGCATTTTCTATTGATGTTTTGATCTCTATTTATATCTATCTAGCTGAAAAGATGTGAGGTTATGATTTGGTGTGATTGATCAATGAGACAAAATTTTCGATTTCAAGAACACATATTTCAAATTGTGTATTTGGGTAATTACACTGTTTATCTTTTCTTAAAACAGTCTTGCCATGTCAAGAACAGGCAAACTGTCGTCTATCACTCCCTGAATTCTAGTACATTGTTATCTAGGTTGTAAATATGCATGTTGATTGTCAACATATGAGTTGTAATACATCCTCAGTTTCTCCTATCTATTCATGATATAAGCGGAAACAACAGAAGTGAGCTCAGCTCATGTATTTCACGCAAATTCAGGAGATACTTCAGTCAGAACCCAGCGACGGTATAATATCACCTATGTACATACAATCCTGCTTATCAGAAATGGAGGAAATCCGCATATAATTAACAAAATATCCGGCATGTCACAAATGTACCTGAGACGGGGGGGCACTTCCCCGTATCGATCGTCATACACACTTCACATCTTCGCTCCATTTCCATCACCACTGGTACCACCCCAAAACTCCCCTTTCACCACCGCCCTAATCAGCTGGTGCGCAATAGCCGTCTTGGGAGGCAATCTTAGTCCTCCCTTATACTCGGCACCCGGTTTACTCGCCAAATCGCTCGTTCCCGCTCTCAACGCCTCTTCAACCACCTCAATCGGAAACCAACGCGCATCCTCCAGCTCCGGATCATGTTTCAGCGATACTACCTCATTCTCCGGCGTCGCCACCTGGGCAATAGCCCCAATCATCAGATTTGCCGGGTACGGCCAGGGCTGCGTACTATGCACGACCACGCGGGATAGCACGACACCAGACTCCTCCCACACCTCGCGGCGCACGGCGTCCTCGATGGACTCGGCTGGCTCGACAAAGCCTGCCAGCGTCGAGTACCAGTTTTGCGGCCACCGCTTTTGTCTGCCTAGAAGCAGACGTTGGCCGTCATGGCTGAGGACAGAGACGATGATGGTCGGGTCCGTGCGGGGGAAGGAGAGATTGGAGATGGTTGTGCGGGTGTTGCAGTGGGGACGGGCGATGGGGGGATTCCCGTCAGTCGCCTGGGCATGGTCGTGCGGCGGACATGCGCGCTTTGTGCCGGCGTTGACGGACAGGGTTGGGTGGCCGCAGGTGCCGCAGTAGGTGTTGCGTGTGTTCCAGTCGAGGAGGGAACGGGCTTGGGCGTATATGGCGGCTACGTCTGCTGGGAGTGCGTTAAGGACTCGCGCTTTATGAAAGGAGAGGCCCCTTGCTTCCATTGTTGAGACGATGATTTTGGCGGTTTGCTCGATTGTGCCGCGGGGAGTGACGTCCAGGGCGAAGAATGGAGTTCCCTTATAGATTTTGTAGACTAGGCCATTATCTGATTGAGTTTCGTCGAGGCCTAGGAATACTAGGTGCGGGATTGTGATTGAGGAGTTGAACTCCTTGAGGACGTCTTCTTCGGATTTATCAAAGATGTCTTCTGGGATGAGGGGTTTGACATCGTCGTAGGAAGCGTAGAAAACTTCTGAAGGGTTACGGACGAGGGGTGAGAGGTTGTTGAATAGCAAGAAACGGCTTGTTGGGTGTCGTATGGCTGCTGATAAAAAAGGGGCCTCTGACCGGAGGAATGAGACACGGTTTAAGGGAGAACCTGCCGGAGAAACATCTGATTAGATCCAGGTTGAGTACTATATATATGGAAGCAAACTGCTCACTGGAGAAATAGTTGACGGTCTCCTTGCCGAATTTTCGAGAGAGCATGGACTCAATTTGGACATGTGCGGGTGCGGGGATATCGGCAATGGATTCAGGGGTAGCAGAAGCCATAGCGGGAGGATTTCTTGAAAGATCTCATGAGGAGATTCCTGTTATTGACCGAACAACTGCCTCCAATCTCTCATCTAGGCAGGACATGAAAGGATGCAAGAGACGCTGCTCAGTAACAGACATCCCTTCGTGTCGGTGACTCTTATTATATCGCTCTTTGCAGCCGGAGTTTTTCCCCGCAACCGCGGCAAAAGTGCTGACTCAGCCGAAGAGACGTCTGAATTTCCTAAAGGGGAAAAGTTGAGGGTTTGATTGGATTTTTGCCCCCGAAAATATTCTACGTTGAAGATGAAGTAGTTATCGAAATATGAAATTTCACATCGCTGTGGGATTTACAGTTTACAGGTTATAACAGATTCCGGGAATGCATTGGTGGATTGTGCTCCGGCTAGGGAGGGGGAATATCCTTTAGTTGTATCGTTTGGGGCTATCCACCAGTGCTCATCGGCATTTAAATAGCTGTTTACTTCCCTTGATAGGTGGGTATTGTGCTGATTTTCGCATATCCAGTATCCTTGAGAGATGCTTCATAGTCTAAACCTTCTTTGGATAGAAAGGTATCGCCAAAGCGCCTCTAATACTTCATCATTGTCTCAGCAAACCACCTCTTGCTCATAGTCTCTCCCATATTGGCCAGCCTTGCACAGTTTGCACCCCTTCCTGTGGCTTTAGTTTTGCGTTGAAGGTAGAGGTTAGACGGAAGAGCCACTCGACATTTACACTGTGGGTGCAAATTTATCGTCATTTGATCTACTAGCAGGAGTAATCTCTCACTGTAGTTAAAAATAGCTTAATCGCTCGACTCATTACGGGGATACTAGGTTACCCTGCAACGATAGATACAGAAAGAAACCTTAGGCTCGGCAAGGTGCCTGGAAGCGCTTTGAGCGAGGCGATTTATGGCCTTAGGCTGGGATAAGGCACATTGTAGAATGTGAACAGGGATCGAACCCACGGATACATGTCCCAGACCAGCTCCGCGGACTTTATCGCTGCAAGACGCTGTGGCAACAGAAGCCGTGGTAGGTGACCAAAAAGTTTCATTCCGTTGATGTGCATTTTGTTCGTCCGATACAGCACATCGACGCCTTCAATATAAGCCTGCCGGCACGCTAAAAGCCAACCCCACCGCGCCGACAAGGCATTTCGTAGGCATTTTGCCGCGCCAGGCAACACAACGAAAAATTATTATGGTAATATAAGATATACTCATCATACGCGGGACTAGAGATGGAAGAATCCTGTAGTAGGGAAGTGTTCATAGAAGAACATAAGCGGTGGCATATGCAACTGCGCCATTGCCATTCTAGGGGTTTAGACGAGTCGCGATCCCAAGGGGCGGGGAAAGTTGGCATGGCGTGGCTGGGCCGCTTGCTGACGCTTCTTCAGCTTCTTCTTCATCTTCCTTTTCATCGGATACGTTAGGTACACAATTCCATGTGCATGATGAATTCCCCAAAAGCATACATCAGGCTGCTTGCGTTGGCTGTTTGGGAGGGGATAGCTGTTAAATGGACGTACCCGCAAGGCAAGGAAAACAGGCATATTTCGGGGGTCAACATGTTTCTTCTTCCTGCAAACCATCTGGTGACTGAGCTCCAAGAATACATCACTGCCAAGCAATGATTTTAGCCTCTTCTCGAAGCTGATTTCTATGCCGTTTCAAAACAGTTGGCGCCCGCGTATTCTCGGATTGGTCACTAATGAAACTGAAAGGCTGCGTCTGGATGTCGATAGCAACATTCAAACGAACTCTAGCGGCCTAATGGTAGTTAGCGACTTGAGTTGAATAGTTGCTTCTCAACTGGAGGAAGGTCTTTTAGTCGAACCTATCATAGCTATCAGGTACACTGGATTCAGTGTGCATGGCAGGTGATCCAACATGGCTCGATTTCCAGAAGATGACATTTCCAAGTTTTCATTGATTTATGATTGATTGATTGATTACTTCATACACCGACCCAGCCGCCTCGAAGGCCGCTATGCGGGAATAAGCTAGTCCTAATCCGTCCAACGCCCGCAAAACTTAAAGAAATCACTAATTACAAGATTTTGATTAAATCACTGCACAGGTGGTGGCAGCCACCTGTGTGGTGCCTAAGAAGAATTGGGTGAATAGATATAAGGAAATAACATAAGAAAAGACATTGGTTGTCAGTTGGATTTTGCTTTGCGGCTGTCATATCCTTCTTACCTTGCCCACACACATTGCTGCAGCGCGAGCTATTGAGTGCCTGGAAACAATTAAGAACTCATTGCTTGACAGTTTGGTCCTGTAAACTCCCAAATTGCCCAAGAAGTTTGGTTTTGAGCATAAAATTGGCGGCTTGAGCCGCCATATCTGGATCTGAGAGCATTTTCTGAAGGTCTGTAGTTCTTTCCCCTACCCAGAGGTCCCTCTGGAGACTTATGTGCTTGATACAGTTAAGCAGTACATGTGCCACTGTCTGATTTCCTCTGCTGCATTCACATGTTCCATCCTCAACTCCTGGAGCCTTTCTTCTGCACAGGAAATGGTGTAGTCCGATGTTACCTGTGCGCAGCTGGGTTAGAATACTTGACAGAGGTCAGGTCAGCTTTGAGTGAAGCCTAGGGATGTTCTTGCTGGGTTCTCTGGCTATTCAGAAGAGATCTCATCCTCATTTCTCATGTTGCCAGGTTTCCACCAAAGTCATCTCCATTTGGGTCCTTAGCCTAGTCTTGAGCAGCTTCAATGGTGTCTGGGTGATTGCTGTCCGCGCCAATTGATCAGTGTCCATCTGGACATTCTGACCTTGGGCATTTCTTGCTAGCCTCCAGCCTGTGGCCTCCTTGGCCGCCATGTCTGCTTGCTCATTCCCTGGCATACCCTCATGTGCTGGTATCCATCTTATTTCAACCTGGATACCACTCCCCTGGAGTTGATTCCAGATTTCCACAATTTGCTCAAGAATTTGTTGACCATTGATTTGAGGGTCATGGATTGCCTGAATTGCTGCCTGACTGTCTGAGAAGATAATAGCATCTTTGTTCAGGGTTTGAGCCATGAACATAGCTGTTTGAATTCCTTTGAGTTCAGCTAGATAGACTGTTGCTCTGGTTGCATTTCCCAAGTATATCTTTTCTGTGAAGTTAAGATTCTCAAGCACTGCTGAGGCACCTACCTTGTTGTTTATGACACTTCCATCTGTATATACTATCAGCTTGTTTTGTGCTCCCAGTCCTTCCAGTTGTCTCTTATCATGGCTCTTTCTTGCTGCTTCCCTATCCTCTATATGTGTCTCTGGTGGTTTCCACCAGGGTGGAACTATATAGAGCTTTCTGATTTCCAGGTTGCCAATCTCTTCTCTGCCAAGAGCCTTCCAGCATTGGTGTTCATGTCATTCCAGAGGCGTCCATTTTGTTGACAGAGATTCCCAGTCATCCCTGTAGCCCTGCCAGATTTCCTCTTTCCAAATTCTGTCTAGGGTGCTCCATTGTGGGGTTGTTCTGAGCCTTAGGTATGTTTCAGCTGTAATTCTTTCCAAGTGCAGTCGCAGTGGTGGAAGGTGAGCCTCAATATCCAGTGCTGGTCCAGAAACTGTTTTGAATGCACCTGTGATGATCTTGGCTGCCTTTCTTTGCACAGTCTCAAGCTTGCTGAGCAGTACTGATCTGTAGTTGGGTGTATTTTCAGCTGGTGCATACCATGTTGATGCTGCAAATGTCATCTGTGGCAAAATAACAGCCTTATAGATATTTCTCAGACCCTTATATCCTGTGCCTCAGGTAGATCCTGCCAGGCTGGTGAGAGCTCCCAGAGTCTTGGTTGTTCTGGCTTCCACTTTCTCAATATGATCCTTTCATCTGAGCTGGTTGTCAAGTATGAGTCCTAGTATCTGACAGCATCAGCTTGGTGTGATTGTATGTCCTCTTATGATCATTGTATAGCTGTCATTGGGTTCTCTGGATCTGTAGGACAGTTGTATCAGACTGTATTTTGCTGGATTGAATTTTGAGCCATGTGTTGTCTTCCATTTGTTGCACTTTTCATGAATTCTTTCAAGTGTTCTGCAGTTCTCTTCAGCTGAGCTGCTTGAGGTCACAATATTCATGTCATCTATCCAGCCCATTCCTGCTGTGTTGCTTTCTGGATTCTGACAGTCCTCCACCAGATCTGCATTGAAGAATAGATAGAGTATTGGTGACATTGGTGATCCCTGTGGAATTCCTGATTGCACATTTCTTTCCTCTGAGCTGCCTTCTGGGAGCTTGATAGAGGTTCTCCAATCTATCAGAAAGCTTTCTATCCATCTCACCACAGCAATTGGAATTCTTCATTTTTGGAGATTGTGAAGGAGTCTTGGGTGTGAGACATAGTCAAAGGCACCTGAAACATCCAAAGACAGTATGGATACTGTTTTGGATGTTATCTGTTCCTTTTGTGCTGTTTCTATCTTCTCCAGCAGCCAGTGCAGGGCATGTTCAGTTGAGACTCCTTTTCTGCCACCCAGATGCATTTCTGGAAGAAGATCATGCTTCTCTTCCCAGTAGGACATTCTTTTGGCAATGATCTTCTCCAGCAGTTTCCCCACTGTATTTAGCAGAGCCACTGGTTGATAGGATTTGGTCTGAGTATAGTCCTCTTTCCCTGGTTTTCTGAGCACTACTGTTATAGATCTTCGAAAGTGGTCTGGGCAGTATTCCTGTTCCATGCAGGCATTGAATAGAATTGTGAGAGGCTGAGTCAGCTCTTCTACCGGAATCTTTAAAATCAGATTTGGTATTCCATCTGGGCCTGGTGCTTTCTTTGCAGTCACCTTTTGAATTGTCTTCTGTATCTCACTGGGTGTGATTTCTGGCCATTCAATTGGTTCTGGGTATACTGTTCCAGCTATGTCATTGAGATTGGCTCCAAGTTTTAATTCGTCAGGCGTGCACTTACAAGCCGTACGAAGCCACAATTCCCTCGCGCGGTCCGTTCAAAGCCTCTGTCAAACCCTAATGATAACAATCAGATTTTAACCAAACAAGTGAACGACCCATGCAAAGTTTCTTGATGCACTAATTAATAAATTTTGACACATGTATATGCCATTCATGGTGATGTTCATGAACCCCTCGCAAAGCAACTAGTTGTGAACTGTATCATTCGCATGTGTCTTGTGGTCTGCTCATTCTGATATTGATATTTCTGCCCGGCCAATAAACATCTCCCGTTCGGACTTAACGGGGTTTATTATTGTTTACATTTGAGTTCGGCTATCCGACTGTCGATAGAAACTCAGGCATCGTCAAAAAGCGGTCCGCTATCTGAATTCTTCCTGATTCAACGATTAAAGGGTCAGCTGGAATGCATTTTTTAACTTGTTATTATTGGAGGGGATATAGAGGAGCCTTTCATGTTTGTGTTTAAAATGGAACATGGGAGAAGAAGCTACGGTCAGGTTTGGCATCTGCAATATGCCGTGGTATATATTACTAGAATTTCTGCGCAATCACCATTCGTTGTCAACATGCTCTCCATTCTTTCGGAAGCCCTAAATCCTTATGTTCAAAACTAGATGAGCAACTACAAAGCATAAAATTAAATGAAACCAAAACATCATAATTATAAGTTCCAGCCTTACACGAGAGTAAATCCCCCGCAAATGATCAGCGCTAGGAGTGGCGAGAAAATATTTTAAGTAACAAAATGTGAGGAGAAGGGATGGTAAACGATTATAAGATATATAGAAAAATACTAGAGAGTCGTGGTAAATGTAAATGTGATTAACCTTTCCAGAACCAACCGCCTTTCTTTTGTCTGTTAGCTACTTCGAGGGGCTCCTGCTTCCGGTTCTGGCTCGTCTGTTCACCTTCTGCTACGGTTTGGTTGGCGTTCTCTATATGAACGGTTTCGCTGGTTTCTTCGTTTTCATCAGAAAACCGTCGTTTCCGAGTAATAGTAGTCTGGACAGAACCGTCAGGGAGAGTCTTGCGCTCGGTTGTGGTCATCGTGGAAATGACATATGGAGAGGATTGTGCTTGTGGCATCGAAATAGGCATGTTTGTCTCTATCTCTGATTCTGGATGGGTCATTTTTTCGGGCTGATCGAGGTCCTTCTGACAATCTTTGAACTGGGAATAGTGAGCCTCGTTCTCGGTCTCCCGCTCCCATCGGCTCTGTTGCTCGAGAAGCTTTTTCCGTTGTCTTAGCAGATCTTCAATTATCATTCCCATCAGTGGGCTAACAAAGGGAACAGTCCCCTCATCCGAGGGTTCATTCACGCGGTTCAAAAATTTCTCGTATAGATCGAGTTCCGTTAGCCATTTGTCTTCCCGCATATCGTGTTCCCGATCATCGGATTCATTTATAGGCTCAGGATGGGAGATCTCCATATTGTTTGAAGTACTACCATCGTATGACCGGTTGTACCTGTAGTTGAAATAATCATTTGGTCCCTTTCGGACGTGAGACCAACGATTACCAAGGCTACCTCTGTCAATGATCCCAGAAATCCAATCTTTTGGAGTTTCTTTTCTGATGACCGCCCTTGCATCGCCATTCAACATATCTTTGCCATTCTCTATGCGCAATAGATCTTCGAACGCCTCCCGCCAGTGTGGGGTTTCAGATTCATGTGTATTGTGGGAGGGGACCAATGAAGAGAATAACGAGGATAAAAGGTTCTCGTGCGGCTTCTGCCCTATGTTCTGCTGACGTTCAAGGTGAAGTGGAGAGTAGGGAGAAAACAGAAGGTACTGAATGGGCCATCCTGGCGAATTGGACGATGTCAATAAATCGATGGAGAACGGAGAACTGGAACGGCGTAAAAGTGGAAAGAGGTGAAAAGGTTCAAAGGGCCATAAGCTATCCAGAGGAGATTCAAAAATAGAAGATGGAAATTCATGTTCAAAGTAACGGCGCCCAGTTAACAGCCAGTGATCGAACGGGACAGTCGGATGCCCCGCAGCGCCTTGAGAGCCATCTTGGCTACGGTGGGGAGTTCTCTTGGAATCGTCACGGCCACAGGAACATGTTTCGGACTTATTCCATCGACCGTTGCATTGTGTATCCTGGTTGTCAGCCTTAACTTCGGGTGCCTGAAGTCTCTGATGATGAAACATTCGCGCAGGATCCCGTCCCTGGAAGTATAACCAATTCCTTGATGTGGGAGGTGAAATAGTGGAGGGAAGCCCTATGAAAGACTGCAATAGTGAAGCGAAGTGTTCGTCCGCATAGCGGCAAAATGCTATAAAAGGGTTCTCTTCTTCGGGCTGACGTGGGCGGTCGGGTTTGTTGTTGGCACTCGGACCATTGCGGTCACCGGAATCAGCCATTATTGCATCCACGTAGCCTGATAGAGTGAAGAATAAAGAATGGTTGATTATAAGCAAGTAATAATTGTCTGTTCGATTACGTTGTCTTGGTCTTTCCTGAGTAACTTGTCGTTGAGGGTTGGAAAACTTGAAGATTGGAGATTGATTGACGTTTGATCAGTCGACGTTTGGGATGAAGTCATTTTAAGCCGGCCCGATAAGTTTTCCGAATAAACTTCATTCTTCCTCACGTTCCTTGTCTTCCTATTGGCCAAGAACGTTTAGTCAGCCTTAAGCAATTGTAGTTTTAAACGCCTCAATAAACCAAGCATATAAATCACCTGACTTAGGGATAGCTTCATTTGTCCTGATTAGGAAATATTAGACTACGACTTCAACATCTCCATCTTTCATCAGCAAAGAAAAAGTCCAAGGTTCACTATTGCGGTGTCAAGGGTCTTCCGGCTCTCCGCCATGGTGCTACCGATGTCGTTGATCTAATTCAGGATTCATCTGTGAGATCCTGGTCGTGAAATGTATCGTTAGCGCGACCAATAATCTCTAAACCCCTGCACTGTATCGTGGTGGCTGGTGAGCCCCGCTCCCCGCATAAACCCCAACCTGGTCACTGGTCAGTTGGGATTGCGGGATTGGTTGACGATTCCAAGGCTTCTAATATTTCTGGAATCGTCGTTCGTTTCTAGTCCTTGTGGTGACGACCTGATCTAATGTGGGTTCATTGACCCGTGGCTTTTCTTAGGTCCTAATCCCTACCGATCGTTAAGCATCTAGTATTTCATTATTTCCACCATTCTTTTTGGCTCAATAATACATCCCGTAAGATTTTAATCCCTGGCAATGTATGATTTGGAGGATAACTCAGTCTCTGGGATTCCTTTTAAGTCCCTTCGGCTTTTATGCAATGGAGTCTCGGCGGCTCGCTTCTGCACCCTGTCATAGTGGTCGCGTCCGCCATTCATCAGTATAATATAGCTGTGACTATCCCTTCTTTCAAATTTGACCCTCACAACTTCCATCTTCTCAATTATACGCTTACTATACTCTTTACTCCTGGTGTATGCTTCTGAGAACCCATCGCTAGCCCAGAGGGCCCTAGCCAAATAATGGATACTTTTGACACCTCTTCCCTCCATCTACTTCAATCCAAAGGACAAAGGGAATTTCTCGATGGACTTGATGAGCTTCGGAATCTGGGGTTTCGTCGCCGGTTGGCCTTACCACAGGTGGTGATATGTGGTGACCAAAATAGCGGGAAGAGTTCGGTCTTCGAGGCCCTAACCGGAGTCGCACTGCCAACGAGTAATGGACTTTGTACCAGGTTTGCAACAGAAGTTATCCTCCGGAGGTCAAATGAATCCTCCGCCTCGGTGAAAATTCGACCTGGCCCAGATGCAGCCCCAGACCATCGACACAAACTAGGCATATTTGCCCGGTCACACAACTGGCTTCAAGATATCCCAAAGTTGTTCTCGGAGGCCAGGCTGATCATGGGTTTGATTTCGGACGGAAGGTATTCACTTGATATTTTACAGCTAGAAGTTTCCGGTCCTTCATTACCAGACCTAACTGTGGTCGACTTACCCGGCCTGATCAATTCGCCAGGGATGCACCAAACAATGGAGGATGTTGCCCTTGTCCAAAACCTGACCGAGGCGTACATGAGGAATCCTCGGAGCATTATCCTAGCCATTGTATCGGCTGAGAATAGTATATCTCAGCAACTGGTGCTGCGTATGACCAAGTCTTGCAGTCCTCGCACAATGGCAATCATCACGAAGCCGGACACTCTTCAACCAGGCTCTGCCAGTGAGGAGAGCTTCTTTGCGCGTGCCAGGAACCAGGATACTCCCCTACGGCTAGGATGGCATGTCCTTATGAATAACGACACCACTGAGAAGAGAAGTCGTTATTTTAAACGGGACGACATGGAAAACTTGTTTCTGTCCACCTCGATGCCCTGGAAAACACTTTCTCCAAACTGCACTGGTATTGAATCCCTTCGAAGTCGGCTGACTAAAATCCTACTTGGCCAAGTTGAATCTCAGTTATCGAGCTTGTCTGCCGAACTTCAACAAGATCTGGAAACGAGCCGTACATTAATGGCAAAGCTTGGACCGGACCGGAAATCGGATACGGCGCAGCGATTATACTTAACAACCATCGCTGAACGATTTCAAGCCCTCTCACGATCCGCCACAGCTGGAGATTACCAGGATTCTTATTTTCGTTATCACCCCCAAACCTCCGTAAGGCGACTGCGGTCTATAATTCGTAATTGGGCGGAAGATTTTGCTGCCGACATGGAGGACCGCGGTCATAGCTATAACATTTATGACGATACTACCCAGGAAGGTGTGGATCAGGCGCCTGTTCAGATAACTCCTGATTACCCACAACCAGTTGGGCGATCTTCCTTTATTAATGGACTTTCTCAACTACTAAGCCAAAAAGAAAATAGGGAATCTAATGGATTGGTCAATTCCCAAGCAGTAGGCGAGCTTTTCATTCGCTACTCAATTAAATGGACTTCCATGGCCAAAGCTCATGTGTACGAGTTATGGAAAAAGGTAAAACTGTTTCTTGACGATTTACTCCATCATATTGCTGGTGCCGAAGTTGGCGAAGCCATACTCCGGGAGCTACTGGACCAGGAGATGAGCGATCGGTTGAAGGAACTAAACAACAAAATTGAAGAGTTGGCAGCACCTTATAAACGCGTTATTCCTGCTACACTAAGTCGAAAATTGACCGCGAAGATCCATCGGCTTCGGACCTTAAATGGCTCGAACGGAATTGATGAATTCCAGGATGAAGGTAGTGATACAAGCGTTTATTACGAAATTCTCGACTGTATGGAAACATATTACGCTGTCGCGTTACCGGTATTCATTGACAACGTTGCCGGCCTTGCTGTGGAAAACTGCCTTATCGAAAACCTTGAGAATATTTTATCGCCATCGAAGATTGTGCAGTTATCAAATGAAAAAATCGAGCGCATCGCGGCTGATTCCGAAGATACCCAGATTGCCCGAAGACATCTCGTTAGTAAGGTTAGAGTGCTCGACCACGCTGTTAAAGCATGCCAACGGTGTGAAATGACCGGACTTCAGTCTTCTACGCAGAATTATCGCGAATCGTCCAAGGACAACCCAACTAGTGTTCTTATATCAGACATACCTGATCCGTCGCCGACAGATGAGTCACAAACTCCCGAGACCAGTCCATCAGAAACCCCCAATTTGCCCAAACCTCCAAATTATGTCGAAGATAAATCGAAAGGCCAAGATGACGTATCTACTCAGCGAAGTCGATCCTCAGGTGAATCTGGCCGTAGCATCTCTGAAATCTCTCAGACCGATATAACAACGCTCTCTCCAATCGACAGCATTTCGATGCCTCCTCAAAGTCCCTCCATTACATCTAGTTCTACAAACAGCCAGAAAGGGTCATTGCTAAAGCTCCCAGGAAGACCTAGCCTTCGAAAACGAATATACAAAAGCAAACCTACTGCAGAATCAGAGGATAAACCGGGCCGCAAACGGAAATCTGACACGAGTAAGAAGACCTCTCCGTCGGCGGCACCTAATTATCTCATTTATAGTATGTCCCTTTCTTAACTTTATGTGCTTCTTTCAGGTTCCGTTCGTTCTGTTAAAACGACATCCTCCTCGAAACATGTAGAACCTGTTCCATTACCTAATAACTGCAGCTTTTATTACTATTCCATCTAAAGGCAGGCAACGACTGATGCAAGTCTTTCTACAAATACAACTCCCCTTGCGGTGCAACTCTCTCTCTCTTTCCCCCTTCTCTCCCCAAATGAAACAGAATAAAACTAAAACATTCCAGTGTCTCCCTTTGTCAAAGTCGAAGCCTTGAATTTCAACTCATCCATTCTCGATTCCTATTACCCTCTATTTCCTTCTATTCAGTTGATTATGTCATTTTTCAGGCGTCACCAATAGGCTGGCTCCCATTCCTCACCCAATTCAAGATATCCTTTGATTCCGTTTTCTCAGGCAGACTTGTCTTCTCCTTTTTTTTTTTTTTTTTTTTTTTTTCATGGTGGCATGGGGTGGATGGGATTGACACAGCAATGACATTATTCTCTTCTTTTATGAGGGCTTCTTCCGAAGTTGCAATAGACAACATAGCTCCATTTTGTTCATTAACTATAGTTTGTCTTTTTCCTAGTAATAAGGGGATAGCTCCCTATTTGCAACTTTTAATGTCAAATACCAGTATTATTGTTATTTTTCTCGCCGGTACAAATTATATTGCTTGGCACTACTCTTGCAGTTGTAAGCCTTGAAGTCCTTCATGATTACCCCGGATGGCTTATCCTTTACACTTCACTTCACAGTCTAGGCCATATCTACATTGGCGGGGTCACATTTTAGGGGAATTTCCACATCAAGGATGCTTTCGTCTACTAGCATTTCTTCAAACAAAAAAGCAAATATGAGAGTGTTCCAGTATTAAAAAAAAAATTAGATATAAAATTAAAAATACTAAAAAAGGTGAGAATATAAACCATATTATCCCACTTCTTTTTGCTAACGCTTTTCCGAGTACTATTTCTTACTTCTGGACATGACTGTAATACTCCATTCTCAAGGCATGTCCGCATGCCTCCGAAATCCATTCATGAATTCCAATGCTGTCAAGAGACCCCAGAACAGGCAGTTAAAGGCCACATGATCCAAACCTAGAGTTTCGATCTCTCCGCAACCCCTTCCCACGCTTCAGGGAACCCGGTATTCCTAATCCACATACTGTCGCTCTCCTGAATAGAGTCGATAACTATTATAAGAGCACGCATGTCAGCAAAGCTTTCGGAACAATTAATTTGGCTATGATAAGATGGGAAACTTGGGAGCCCAGTTCTTTCAGCCAAGCTAGATGTGGAATATTAACGGGAGAATAGATATGTACAGGGTAGAGTAGGGCAAGGGCTCGGGAAATTCAGGAACAGGGCGATGTGCTGGGGGTAAACGTGGAAGATGCGGCTAGAGACATTTTGATTGTTTTGTATGTGGCTTTTTGGTTTTGAAATGTTCTGGAACTTGGGCCATTGTTGCGGAGCAAGGGTGAGAATGAAATGTGTTATTTGAGATTGACAAGGCAGATATTCGTAGAATATTTTTTTTTTAGCGATGTAACTCCATGGAATCATTTCAAACGACGCGGGGGAGGGGTAAAAACTTGGCAGAGTGATTGGATGGATTACTCAGGGTCCATGATTGGACGTGATAAAAGGAGACAAAGAAAGATAAGACTAATACATGAATTTTGAAGCAGAAAGGTAAATATTATTAAAATTTCATGGAGCACTCACCCATGTTCGCCAACTTAATCCACATATCTCCCCTGATCAAAAACGCCTCCTTATATTTTCCTTCATCCCGCTCAAATGGCTGACACAGCTCCTGGCCGTAAGCAAGAGTACGGATGAACTTTGCTGCGTGTCCGTCATCGCGGTCATGGTTAACAGTTTTCGAAAATATTTCCTCCCACGACAGTCTCGGATTATAGGTTGAGATATCCTCCGGGTGTGGCTCTGTTGCACCTCGAGAGGTATATACGAGGAGGTCCATGCGGCCCTTCCATTCCAGAATGCGGAGTTTGTTTTGCTCACTTAGCCAGGGTTGGGAGATGAATGCACGCAGGAAAATCGCGCTGGTGACGCAGTGCATGTAAAAAAAGTCGAACTTAATGCATTTGGGAGGACATTGCGCGGCGCCCGTGAAGTAAACTGTTGATATTGTTGAATTAACTTCCGCTCTGTCTGCAAGGGGCACGGTAGACCAAGGGGCAATAATCACAGGGGTAATAGAGGTCCATGTGCTTGGGGATAGAGAGTAGAGTGCCCACTGCTGTTCACGATCTAGGATTCTTATCACGTACCAACAGCATTGACTAATTCTGCTAGCTTTTCTTCGATTTGATGTGGTCCGACAGAGAATTGGCTCGCAATTTCGATCATCTCGCTAGGTGCTCGAGTCATCACTCCATCAAGTATCTTATTCTCATCATCCCAGTGCACGGAGGTGCGGAGCTTATGATTAAAGCGAATTTCTTGTTGAAGCTGAACCAGTGACTTCTGGCCCTCCTTTCCAACCCCACCTGCTGCCCGTTCAGCTGGCAAGAGAAATGGTTTTAGATTTGCTTGATGAACTGCGGTTTCGGCAAGGCCTTGAGCGACAATGGCAGGTTGGTTGAACTCGAGGCCGAATCCGAGGTGGATAAATGGGTGGATGAGCCCTGTAGGGTTTAGTTCAAAGGGAAAGGAAGACAAAATCTAAGGTAAACCTCAAAAAAAAAATTGACTTGCAAGAGGCGTACCGCCAAATAGCCTGACAAGCATATCATCCGCTAGCTTATTATTAGCGAATAGATACTCATTTACAACCGGTCCGATCCCCCTACTATCAATTTGACGCTGAAAGAAAGCCAGAAAGTTAGGGTATTGATCCCTCTTTTCTGCATAAGCATTAAATTCATCCTTGCTCCCTAGTTTCTGTACTATGGCTTCATCAACAGGGCGTCTTGGCAACTGGTAGGACGAGTTGTTGTCAAAAGCCTTCTGCAGGGCAGCCGGAGACGCCCCTAAGGCAAAGGACGTCAAAATATGATGAGTAATATGATCTGTCCACGGTTAGCTTCACCGGGACGGTTACAGGTCGTCGATTCGCTGAATAGAGGTAGCATATGGGGTAATGGGGACGGTTGCGTATCAAATACGACGGGCACATACACCAGGGGATTGACGTAAAACACGTGTAGTTAGCTGAATCCAATCAAACATGGGATTTCAGCATGTAAAATAAAGGAAATCAAAAGCATTAAGGGAACTAAATGTAGAAGACCTCGCCCGCTACTTGGAGAAAAAAAAAGGCACAGGTTCCAAGAAAAAATTATATCTCAAACGGAGGAACTTCACTAACCATGAAACCCCATCTCATTGAAGAAAATATGATGCTTCTCCATATCCGTCTGCAGCAATTCAGACGCCTTCTTTGCAGAATGGTCATTCTGCATGCGGTCCAGAATCCCCGTATCAGACTTCAACACCTTGACCTGTGTAGTGGTAGCCATGGTTCTCTGACACCGGTGAAGATTTAGGTTCTGTAGACTGATGAGAGGAGTTCTATATTCGACTATTCCAGTTCTTGGTGTTGTTTCTTCAATCTTGGGGATGATCCTTCTGTTTGAAATCGCTGATATGGTTCTCGGTTGTGGTGCCAGCAATATTCCTCTGATGAGCGAAGAACAGGAAGCAATATTGTTCACAGATGGATATCCAAACTTTGGCGCGAAGATGGTCATATATATGAATCTGGTCGCGTGTAAAGCACAAAACTGTGGTGTTCGTATAAGGAGTTCTCAGACGCTTCTGCTGCGTGATATTTGTCTGATCTAGGCGGGATTCCAGACAATTCAGCAGTGAGAGGTCGAGGTGCGCGAGGTATATGGCAGAGTTTTATATCCAGAATATATCAGTTGACGCAGTTGAACTTAACTGCGGGGAAACAAAGTAACGATTGTTGAATGATAGAACAGTTGATGATCATTCAACCAGAACTCTTCAGATAATTTAACTGCTGTCCAACCCAGATAACATCGGGTTATGGGGTTTTGATATAATGAGCCCCAGGATGTAAAACTTCCCAGCCACACGCAACATTCACACAAGGAACAGACAGATGGTTACGTCATAAGAGTCGCCTGCTGTCCGGTGCCTCAACCTCCGATCGATCTGTAGCAGATTTAACTTTTTTTAGACTCTGGACTAGCCGAAGACCTAGAACCTGGGATATCATTAATTTTTGCAAGGCTGGGCTGTCCCACCAACTGCATTGGATGCATCGAGCACGCGTGAAAAGCCGAAGACCCGTGGATACTGCTGTTATTTGAGAAGAGCTCGCTAATACGAACATTGAGGCCTGGGTTTCGACATGTCCAGCAGCAATTGGCAGTCTTGGAGAGGACCTGGACGCTGGGGATTAGAAATCAGTGTGCAACTAGTTAGACTAACCTTCTTGAGGAATGAGAGTCTACCGTGGCTAATTGACTTGAGAGGAGTGAGGCGGGGCTCGGCGTTGAAGTATGCTTCCGATTTGCTCGTGTCATGCTTCGCTTGTTGCTTTACGATCCATCCAATAGAGAGAAGAACAGAAATCAATGGAACGATGAAGGAATGGCCGGGTGGTGGCAACCTGAACAACGGATGAACAGAACTTGGAAAATCGTGGACCGAATTTTGCTCTCTCTGTTTCGAGCTACTTTAGTCAAGATGGGAGGGCCACATGGCGAGTTGGTAACAATTATATTATATCTGAGGTTCCATAGAATATCTTGAAACCATAGACCCAGAGGCTTTGAATCTCCCAATTCTATTACCAAATGCCTGCAATAGTATCGCAAAACGCAGTACGGGGTCATTTTGAAAGACAACAACGCGGCATTCGCAGCAGCACGAGAAAAGATGTATCCGAAAAACGACATGCGAATTTCCATCAATTTCAGGTGATACCACTTACATTCGATGCCCTTGGTCCAGAGATGAATGAAAATAGAACGCTAGGAGTTAAATAGCCAGAACTTCAATATATATATATATATCTCAAATACCCATACATGTATGTCCAATGTATGATAGGATAACCACCAGTTTCCAGTCTATCTTTTAGCTTGGCTCAGGGCCTGCTTCCTCTTCAAGCGATCTCTCTCGATCTTCTTGAATAGTGGGTGATGACCCACTTTCTCCTTCAATTGCTTATTTCTGCTCTTATTATGTTCGACATACGCCATATCCTCACCGCCAGCAAGTCCGCTCAAAGTCGCTGCGCTGCGTTTCACCGCAGCTTTGTTCATCGCAGCTCGAGATTTCGGGCCTCCTGAACGTCCACTGAAAAGATCATCCACAACCTCTTCTACAACCGCAGATGTTTCATTCTGCAACATCACTTCTTGCAGTAGTTCCCGACGCTCCCCTGGGGTGGCATATGCAAGGCCTTCCAGATTTTCAATCCCTTCCAAGTGGGTGATCACCTTGAAGGCGTACCCCTGATCAACTAAGAAAGCTTGCCGTTTTGAGGAGTAAAACATTTCGTCAGTGTCCTTTGACACGAGTGAATAGAAGAAAGCATTGAAGCCTTCATCGTTTCTGCGTTTAGCTCGCAGGATACGCCCAAGGCGCTGGGCCTCTTGACGACGTGATCCATAGTGCGATGATATCTGAATTAAGCAAGTGGCTTCCGGGAGATCTAGCGAGGTATCACCAATCTTGGACAAGAAGATCGTATTGACCTGTTCGTTATGCTGGAAATTCTCCAGAATCCGCAAGCGCTCATTTTGAGGAGTTCCACCATAGATATAGGCTTTGTTCAATTTCAGAGCATATCGTTCCAGAGCATACACATTGTCAGAGAAAACAATGACTTTGTCTCCACGCTTTTCATGGTAGTCGATCAAGAACTGACACGCCTGGAACTTTCTCGGGTTCATAATGTACAGTAAAGCTGCCTTCCTAGATTTCTCGCGCATATACTCCGTGTAAAATTCCGTCGTCATGGGACACCAAACCTCAGCGCACTGAACCTTTGCAATGTGGCCCTGTTCAGACAACTCCATCCAGTTTGCTTCGTACAGTTTAGGACCAATCAAGAAGTTCAAATCTTTGATCTTGTCATCCTCACGCAGAAGTGTAGCTGTAAGCCCAAGTTTTGCCTGGGTAGCAATAGCTGACGTGACTTTTCGGAACATCGATGCGGGGACGACATGGACTTCATCCAGAAGCATCAAACCCCATTCCCGAGACTGCAACCAGTCCATCATTTTCTGCGCATCATGCGAACGGGCGCGTGTTTGTGACACCATAGAATATGTGGACACAATGATTCCGGTACTTCTCTTGAATTTTTCTTTGTTGTCTGAGGTGAAGACGGCTATATCACCGGGGTCAATATTCGACCACCGGAGAAATTCGTTCCGCCACTGGACAACAGACATCGAACTAGTACAAAGGATAATCGTTCCTTTCTTGATTGTACAAGCCGCAGTTATCCCAACAAGTGTTTTTCCTGCACCGCAAGGCAGCACGATTATCCCGCTCTTGGCTCGTCCGTTGCCGAACATTTTGCTCAAACTCTTCTCTTGGTAACTCCGGATTTGTGCGTTGGGTTTCAAGTCTATATCAAGTGTAGGGTTGATTTCATCGTTTCTAAAATCATATTCTTCGAGTGCTGGGCAACCCATACTCTGGCATCGAGCCTTAACCGCTTCCACGGCGGTATTCGGAATCTCAAAGCTATGAACCTGCCCTGGGTCATCGTCGTCGTCTTCTTCCCTCAAATCAACTAAGATGTCGTCCTCCTTCGGTCGGCCATTCGTCTCTCCTCCTGCTAGCTTCTGGTCTTGGGTTTGTTTCACTCCAGCTGCATCTTTGGTTCCAGGGATGACCAATCCTCCCATTTTTGGAGCAGCTTGCTGTATTATACCCTCCGAATTCTGTAGTCTCTGTGGGCCAATAACCTCATCTTGAAGAAGCATCTGCAACGTTGCAGGATCCGAACTTTCGACAAAAAATCTATTGTGCTTCAAAACGACTTTTATCTTTCCATATGACTTTGTAAAATTGATGATAAAAGATTTGATTGTTTCCGGTAGTGGCGTTTTTGACAATCGATCGAGGAAATTAATTATGTCCCTAGGTAGTAGTCCCACTGATACAGCGGCATAAAGGCTGTTTCCAGTCAATCGATATTCGTGTAAATGCGTAGGTCTCGATAATGGTTCAGCTATCGTTGTAAGGAAATCTTGTGCTTGGGATGCTAGCGGCGAGAAGCTTTCCAGAGTGATGGTGCCTTTTAGCGGCTCGATCCATAGCGGACGGTTTGCATGATCCGGCTTTAAAGGCAAGGACGAGAAGTCTTTGTAGCCAAAATGGGGATCCTGTCGTTGGATTTCGGGCCTTTTCTTTTGGCTGAAGGATTGAAGAGAAAACTTCTCCACTACCTCTGGATGCGCGAATTTGATTCTCATTTCAGGACCGAGTTCTCATAACTGCAACCTGCAACCCGTCCACTGAGCAAGGCAGACTCACGTTTCAGACTATCGCCATCATATTCACTATCATCCGCTGCACCCGAATCTGAATACTCATCACTACTGAGGACACTGTGCGGTGTGGAAGCTGGGACCGGAGTGGCCCGTTTGGAAGGCCGTTCTGAAAGACCACCTATCCGAAACTGGTCAGCGACAGTGGAAGCAAACCCTAGGAAAAAAGGAGTGAGCATACTACCAGCCGCTTTCCTTTTGGGAGGCATATCCCCGCAGATATTGTCCAGCGACGAAGTGACAAACCCTCAATTCTGCGAAGCGGCAGGTCGTGACTCTTGGGTTTTCGAAGCAAAGGGGGAGGAGGAGCAGGACGCAGAGTCTCAACCGGAGCTGAAGAGTTTGTCTCATGAAATGACAGGAGCATGATATCTTGCTCACAATACACTATAGCCAGGTGAAGGAGAAGCCAACCAGAAAATCATGGTCTTTCACTTTTGGATGTGGGAGAAAATAGATGGAGGCATAAGAAAGATGGATAAACATTAGGAGTCTTCCGTCCAAGCTCCGATTTGATCTGGAATTTTGCGACTCACGCCGTTTTAGGCTCCCGTAGACTTAGTCAATATGATCATGTGATATAAGTCACGTGATACCGAGAATATGGATTTTTCTTGATGAATGTAGATAGAAGTATCTATACCAAGCAAAATAAATTCACGGAAGTTCATGCTGCATGTCATCTTCTTTAACCGGATCTACTAGGCAGTTCTCCGGATCGTTGTTGATCTACTTTGTGCAACTCTCAACCACTGATTTGCCCTGTTCCTAATTCTCCGTCAACGACGCCAGCTCAACCTACGCATTTTTTTGCACATTACAATCCTGGCGTCATCGACGATTTTCGCTCTCTCGATGTTAACAGCAGAAATTTACCAAGGCTCATATTAAGAGACAATTAAATACCCCTAATTAACAAAAATGAACACAGTACGTTTCCGAACCCTATGTCATATCCCTATCATATGAAGAATACGAATACTCACCCTACGTACTGGCATATTAAAGATCAGATCAACCTGGTATGTTCTACCGCATACCCACACCGCAGATCCCTACTTTTAAGCTACCCCGATATTCCATTGTGACATATATATTATTCGGTATTTAACCAATATGGCCATGTTTTCGCAAACAGGGTGGGCTGGGGCACACTATGTCTCGGTACGTAAATCCATGAACACTTTTAACCCGCAATCCATAAATATATGCCATTTCCACAAACCCCCAATTCCATCACTTGACCTAACAACTACTCTTCCGCATACTCCCTAGCCGGTGGCGGTGCCTACTACTTTGCGAAAAAGTCCGTAAACGCCAGCCGCGCCAACCGACACGAAGAAATCCTACGCCGCAGGGAGGAGGCCGCCCGTCAAGAGAAACGCGAAATGGCCTTCTCTTCTGCAACAAGCGACATGCCAGCATCGTCACAAACTTCCCCATCTCCGGGTGGTATAGGAGTAACGCAAGCGGAACGTGCGAAATCGGGATCAGATACGGATGATACGGCTAGTCCGAGCAGGGAGGCTGGACATGATCCTGCTGCAACGAGGCATGAGCCAGAAACGCAGTCGGAGAGAGTTCATGAGAAAGGGAAGTATGAGGCGGCGGAACCCTATAGGCCGAAGAGAGGAAATCGGCTTTAGTTTATTGGGCGGGTTGTGATAATAACTTGTCTAAGTCATTCTAAAAAGTTGCCGGTAGGAGTGTATATCGACTGATCTGAGGGGTTGGTGTATAGTTTTGTATGCGTTTGTTTAATATTTTTGATGTTGTCTGATGTAAAAAATAATTAACTTAAAACAGCTGTAGCAGCATCGACATTCCCGCCGATCATATGGGTTTTGTTAGACCCGGTGAGGGTTAGGAATATTTATCAGTTTGAAAATCCATTTTGGATTCGCCTCTCCATGCATTCAGCTTTGCCGGCCACTGACAAGTTTCCAGAACACTATAGATCTCAAAGCCAACGCCAATCCAATCCCAACCTACTTCGTTTGTTGCTCCTAGGTATGCAAAAATCGAAAGACAAAAATAAGAAACCAAATAGCCATTCCGTAACTCCATTTCCTCATGTACTCATGTAAATTTCAAGCCATTCCAAATCCAACCCTCAAATGGACTCTTGCTCGGTTTCAGTGGGGGAGAGTGGACCACCACAAGGTAGAGGTGTCTACCCCGTAATAAACACGTGAATTCTATGGATATGTTATTAGGTGGTAGGTCAATGAACTGATTTTCCAGTTACTCCACTTGCTAGCGGGAGTGGAAGCAGAGAGGAGGATATCTACATGGTAAAAGTAGGTGCATTGTCGTCAGCTCTATATACATGTAAATAGACACCAAAGATGAAAAATTCAAACAATAAAGAATTGAAGAACTCACCTATTCGAATGTGGGTTCCCGAGCTTCTTCTCACGGGAGCTCTCGATGGCAGGTGGGATGAACGG